AAGTGAGTTCCAGGAAAGGCGCAAAGCTACACAGAGAAACCCTGTCTTGAAAAACCAAAAAAAAAAAAAGAAAATTAAAATTACCTATCAAAGAATGATGCTTATTCACCACTAAACTTTTGAAATTAACATGTCCAATCTGAAAATGCACCAGAACATTGGACAGATAACCCTGGCTTCGTTCTGGATTAACTCTGTTTCTAGCAGGGTCTTGAGCAGGGTCAGTTTCTGAGATGGCTGTCAGACCTTTGTCTCATTTTAATCCCTTACTGTTAAGCTATTTAAGCTGTCTATTCTTCTTTCTTTTAAAAGCACAAAGCCTTTTATTTCATGGGATTTCATATGGTATGAAATGTGAAAGGGTATGTACAGAATTATGGTTCTTTTTGGAGGAAAAGGAGTATTCTGATTTTTAGAGAGGTTTTTCTGATACCTTGTACTACCAGTAAAGGAGAAGGATGTAGGTAGTTGCTTTGGTGCTATCCCAGGCAAATGAAATACAACTTTCTGTTCTATTTCTACTTGAATGTTTAGCACAATGGATCGTGATAAAGTGGGAATTCCCACGGATGGTGACTCACATGCAATTACCTACCCACCTGCAATTGTTGTTTATATAATTGATCCTTTTACATATGAAAATAAAGATGAGAGCACTAACTCTTCTAATGTATGGACTTTGGGGCTACTTCGATGCTTCCTGGAAATGGTCCAGACTCTTCCTCCTCATATCAAGAGTACTGTTTCTGTACAGGTAAGAATTTGATGTTTTAGAACTGTCAGAGGTACTTTACTGTATTCAAAATAATTTTGTTAGTAGACAGGTTGTAAGCCAGGCATGGTGTTGCATGCCTTTAATCCCCGCATTCGGAAGGCAGAGACAAGTTGATCTGTGTGTGTTCGAGTCCAGCCTGGTTTACAAAGTGAGTTCCAGGACAGCCAAGGCTGAGAAACCCTGTCTTGAAAAACAAACAAACAAAAGACAGGCTGTATTGATTTTATTTAAATATTATAATAGAAATTTTAAGAGAGTTTATAAAAGATAAATTTTGTAGTCATGGCATCTAATGAATGGCTTAGAAGTTAAGAGTGCTTGTTGCTCTAACAGAGAATCTAAGTGTAATTATCTCCACTCACATCCTGTTGGCTCACAACTATCTGTAACTCCAGCAACAGACAATCAGCTCTGTGGATGCTGTCATACACATGGTATACACACATAGACAGAGACAGACAGACATACAGACACAGAGACACAGACACAGACACAGACACACACACACAGACACACACACGTACATAAATCTTTAATAAACTTTATTGTCATTCTACTGTCATGAGAAATAAAAAGAGGATGTTGGGTGTGTATGTATGGTGGTATGTGCTTGTAATTCCAGGAAGCTGAGGTAGGAGGATCACAAGTTTGAAGTCTGCATCAGTACATAATTCTAGGCTAACTTTGGCTACGTAATAAGACATTGTTTGTTAACCCCGCACCCCCCAAAAAGATTATATTGAGTGTATTATTTCTTCTGTATTACTTTGTAGAGCCTAAATAGAAAATAATGCCTGCATTGTATGTAAGTTAGTTTTGAGACCAATTGCAAGTAAAAGTAGAAGAAAATTAAAGAAATTTTGATTAATAGGCTTCATGGGAGTCTTAATAAATATTAATTTCTGTGCACAGAAAATTTAAAAAATATATAGGTAGTCCTTTAGTTCAGGGTCTATATAAATTGCCTGTATGTTAAAGTCCGTGTAGCAGTGGTGGGAGAGATGACTCATTATTTCAGAGCACTGTCTATTCTTCAGAAGACCAGTGTTCTTTTCCAGTACCATATGGCAGCTCACAGCCATCCATAACTCCGAGTGAATCTAATGCTCTTTTCTGGGCTCCACTCATAATAACATAGAAGGTAGGGGTGTGTGTGTGTGTGTGTGTGTGTGTGTGTGTGTGTGTGTGTGTGTGTATGCAGGCAGAACTCTCATCCACGTACCATAAAAATTAAAGACAATGTATGATAGAAGCTGAAGGTTTTTAGTCAATCTTTCCATTAGATGTTGAAGTTTTGTCTGAAGGGATTTCTCTTAACTGTGTTCTAAGTTACTGTGTTAACATTTGTAATACTCAATTTATCTGTAGATTGTTCCTTGTCAGTACCTGTTACAACCTGTGAAACATGAAGACAGACAAATCTACACCCAGCATTTAAAATCTCTGGCTTTTTCGGCCTTTACTCAGTGTCGGAGACCACTTCCAACATCAACCAATGTAAAAACACTGACTGGGTTTGGTCCAGGCTTAGCTATGGAAACTGCTCTTAAAAGTCCTGATGTAAGTATTATAAGTATGCTTTCCATGAACAAAGTTATTAAGATGACTTACAGTTTAAGATTTTATATAAAACTAAATAATAATGCTTTATTTTCATTTCAAGTTCTAAGATTGCATAATCCTATAGTACTTTCTTTCTTTCTTTCTTTTTTTTTTTTAGAGACCAGAGTGCATTCGACTTTATACACCACCTTTTATTCTGGCTCCTGTGAAAGACAAACAAACAGAGCTAGGAGAGACATTTGGAGAAGCTGGACAGAAATACAATGTTCTTTTTGTGGGCTACTGTTTATCACATGATCAAAGGTGGATTCTTGCATCTTGCACAGATTTATATGGAGAACTTCTTGAAACATGTATTATTAACATCGATGTTCCAAATAGGTACTTATATTTCCTTAAACATGATTATTTCCAGTTTGGAAAACATTAGAAATGTTAGTATATGTACATATGCACAAGCACACACACTGTTTCATACTCAGTAGATAACCATTTAAAGCTTATATACATTATGTTATTAATTGTTGAGATTCTGGGTATACTATTATCTACATTTTGTAGTTAGTACTTACATTATATAATTAAGATAATTAAAAACACTTTTGCCTAGGCATGTTGGCACATGTCTTTAATCTCAGCATTTGGGAGATAGAGTCAGGTGAATCTCTGAGTTTGAGGCCAGGCAGGGCTGCAATGAGACACTGTATCTCAAAACCAAATACTCCCTCCCATGATTAATCTGTCATACAGATAAAGATTTAGATCTCTAACTTTTATGTTACAAATCTTGTGGTAATGATTTTGGATGAAGAATCTGAAACATTAGGGACTAGAGAGATGGTACAGCAGTTAAGAGTGTTTGCTGCTCTCCCTAGAGGGCTAGAATTGGTTCTTGGCATCCACATCAGGTGGCTTAAAACATCTGTTAACTCCAGCTTCCATAGACACCTGCGTTCATGTGCACATATCTTCTAATACACATAATTTTAAAATATTTTAAATTTTTTTTTAAATTTTATGTGCACTGGTGTTTTGCCTGCATGTATGTCTGTGTGAAGGTGTTAGAAACCCTGGAACTGCAGTTATAGACAGGTATGAACTGCCATATAGGTGCTGGAAATTGAACCTGGGTCCTGTGGAACATCAGCCAATGCTGTTAACCTCTAAGCCATCTCTCCAACTCCCTTAAAATATTTTTAAATACTAATTTTGAGAGCCCTCCTACTTATAAGCTGATCTGTTAAGCTGGGCACACACCTTTAATTCCAGAACTTCGAAGGCAGAGGCAGGCGGATCGGGTCTCTGAGTTCAAGTCCAACCTGGCCTACAGAGGGAGTTGCAGGACAGCCAGGGGTACACAGAGAAAACCTGTTTCAAAAAACCAAAAAGTAAATAAATAAGAAATACATCTTTTAGTGGGATATTTGCATTAGTTATGAAATATTTCGAAAAGAATGCTTCTCTGTGAAGGAGGAGAGCGGACACCACTACTGTCAGACTTAGGTTGCCATTTTACTTCTTTGATCAAAAGGTAGAAATAAGGACAGGAGAGACAACTCAGAACTTAGCAGTACTAGCTGCTTTTCTAGAGGACTGGGTTCCTTTCCCAGAACCCACATGGTGGTTCACCACCATCTATAATTCTTTTTTTGGTTTTTCGAGACAGGGTTTCTCTGTGTAGCTTTGCGCCTTTTCCTGGAACTCACTTGGTAGCCCAGGCTGGCCTCAAACTCACAGAGGTCCGCCTGGCTCTGCCTCCCAAGTGCTGGGATTAAAGGCGTGTGCCACCACCGCCTGTATAATTCTAGTTACAAGGAATCTAGTCTTCTGTTCTGGTCTCTGCAGACCAGGCTTACATGTGGTGCACACACATACATGTAAGCAAAACACTCATGCACAAATAAAATAATTCTTTCAAAAAAAGTAGAAATGGGACAAAGATTATGATTTGTTGGGGTGTGGGAGGGGTTAGGGGAAGGAAAGGGAATGGTGAGGAATGATGCAATTATGTTTTATTGATTTTAAAAAAGACAAAATAGCCGGGCAGTGGTGGCGCACGCCTTTAATCCCAGCACTCGGGAGGTTGAGGCAGGTGGATCTCTGTGAATTCAAGACCAGCCTGGGCTACAGAGTGAGATCCAGGACAGCCAGGGCTGTTACACAAAGAAACCCTGTCTTGAAAAAGCAAAAAAAAAAGATGTAATGAGACCTGTCTTGAAATATAATCCCTTACTGGTTTCTTGCTGGCTCTGTGATACTGATAAAATTAGGTGCCTGAGCTATAGCTTATTATCTTATATTGTCTATAGAGCAGCTTTATCTGCCTCACCAGATTGTTAGGATGAAGTGAGTATTGCATGTACAGTGGTTTGGCCATATCCTTATAACATATTAAGTGCTAAATACATGTTAGCTGCTCGTGGTCATTTGCAAAGTGCTGTGTTATGTGCTTGCCTACCTAGTAAAGGATATGGATTAGAAAATCTACAGCGTTATTTGGTCTGAGAAATGTAGTTTGTGATGGTTATTTTTTTTTTTTTTTTACCTTTTAAGATACAGAGATTGGTTCATTAAAAATTGTTGGCACAAATTGGACAACTCATCATTTTTTTCAGTTCTTATCCATTGCCTTGTTCATGCAATATCTGCAGTAGTGAGAGTTGTTGAACTTAAGTATTGAGCTTAAAAGGTTTGGCTGGAATAAACAGTATTTATAGTAAATGGAAGCTCTTGGTAGGCAAACCGAAAATAAATTTCTTAGGTTAAGTACATATCAGAGTATATGTATATATATTTTAACAATTTATTTGAACTTATTTTATGTGCATTGGTGTGAAGGTGTCATATCCCCTGGAACTGGAGCTATAAACAGTTGTGAGCTGCCATGTGGGTGCTGGGACTTGAACCTGAGTCCTCTGGAAGAACAGACGGTGCTCTTAACTGCTGAGCCATCTCTTCAGCCCCTCAAAATATATTTAAAACATTTGTGTGTTTGTGGAGTCAGAGGACAACCTTAACTGTGATTCCTCAGGTGCACTCCATCCTACCTTCCCCTTCTCTGAGACTGGCTAGACAGTCTCTGTCCCAGACTTTGCCATGTAGGCCAGACTGACTGGCTAGTGTGCCTCCTCAGCTCTGAGATTAAAACTGCAAGGGGACAGCATGTTAGCAAATTAGCTATCTCTTCAGGACCATAATGCATATTAAACAATAAAAATAACAAAACAATGCATAAACTTGCAACTGCTTATGATACTATACACCTGTGTTTCCTACAACTCAGGGAGCTAACCCAGGAGGATGGATTATTTGAATTTAGGAGTTTAAAATCATCTTGGGCAACCTAAAGAGAACCCATATCAAAAACTTAGAAACTTGAATGGCAAATATGTGTGTATCAGGCCTTAGTTTTTGTAACGTTTTGAAGCATTAAAATTTAAAGGACCAGGAATTGGGGGCTTAGCTGCATAATGGAAGTATAGTCATATTATATACAATATGATACCTGGTACCAGTATATATACTCTAGTACTAGTTAGTAAAACAGAATAAAATAAAATTGATTAACCAGTTTGTCACACATTTGAATCCTCTTATAAAATGTTATCATGTGAATTTTAGAAATATTTACAATCATTTCGTTCAATAGGGCTCGTCGGAAAAAGGGTTCTGCCAGAAGGTTTGGTCTCCAGAAACTTTGGGAGTGGTGCTTAGGACTTGTTCAGATGAGTTCTTTACCATGGAGAGTTGTAATTGGTCGCCTGGGTAGGATTGGACATGGAGAATTGAAAGGTAAATTGTGCTTTTATCTCACTTTTGTACTTTGTTTTGTGATGATGTGTATTTGTATCAGAACATATTAAGTAACACATTGAATAAAATGCTTAAGTGCTCAGTAGTTAAGAGCTCTTCCATTTGACCCAGGTCAGATTCTCAGCACTCAACCTAGTAGCTTACAGATTCTATAACCCAAATTTCAGGGATTCTGATGCCCTTTTTTAGCCTCTGCAGGCACTGCACACATGTAGTGTGCAGATAGAACCACTCATACAAGTAAATAAATCTTTTAAAATGCTAAAAGTTATTAACACTTTATTTTAAACAAGGAGCCATATATAAAGTCTTTATGTAAAGTCATCATATATAATGACTTGTATGTGATACTCACTGAAGGTAAAGGGATAAGGGTGTCAAGTACCGCTACCTATGAGATAACCTCTGTGGTAGAAATACACTAATTGAAGCGCTGTCATGTATTTCTCTCTTATTGTAACCTTGGGTTAATAGCATAACAGAGCACTTACTTTTAGTACTGTCTCTCTTTGCCCCGTTGATTCCCACAGATTGGAGTTGTTTGCTGAGTCGTCGAAACTTGCAGTCTCTTAGCAAAAGGCTCAAAGACATGTGTAGAATGTGTGGCATATCTGCTGCAGACTCTCCGAGCATTCTTAGTGCTTGTTTGGTTGCAATGGAACCCCAGGGTTCTTTCGTTATCATGCCAGGTTAGTTACCTTCAGTGCATGTCTGATTTAATTATTCATTGTACACTTAAGTTTTTAAGTGTTACATAAAATTCTTCACTTACAAAAACAAAGGAAAAATGCATCTCTCTTCAGATTCTGTGTCAACTGGTTCTGTTTTTGGAAGAAGCACCACTCTTAATATGCAGACGCCTCAGCTAAATACCCCACAAGATACATCATGTACTCATATCCTTGTGTTCCCTACTTCTGCTTCTGTGCAAGTAGCTTCGGCAACTTACACCACTGAAAATTTGGATTTAGCTTTCAATCCCAACAATGGTAAGTTAATTGAATCTTCAAAATTCTTTGATTTGTTTTGAAATCCTGATCTTGCTGTGTGTCCCTGTCTTGCCTGCTGCTTGTTATTTAGCCCCAGGTTTGGTCTTGATTGAGTTCCCAGCAATCCTCCTGCTTCATCTGAAAGTGTTGGGTTTATAAGCATGTATAACTCTGGCTGTTGGATTTTTTTTTTTTTCTTTTAGTTTTTTAAAAGTATTTTTGAGACAAGGTCTTGCTGTGTTGCTCAGGTTGGTGTGAAACTCCCACGCTCAGCCACCCTCCTGCTTCAGTCTCCCAAGTGGCTGGGACTACAGGCACACACCACTAGGCTTTTTAAAATATTGACAGTTTTAGTAGGCTGAATAGCATGCCCTGACATTTACCTTAGTAAGAAAAAAGAGTTTCGAAGATGTAGTTAAGACTATTGAGATGGAGAGTTTTATCATAAACGATGCAAATGGGACTTAAAAGCAATAGAACATACCTCATAACAAGGAAGCAAAGAGGAAGCTGTATCTATACTCAATAGGAAAAAGCTGTTTAAAGGAAGAAAAGGATGCAAAGTCCAAGAGAAGGCTGCGAGCTAAGGCATATAGTTCAAGTCACTGGTAAAGATAAGGAAACAGATTACTAAGACTTGACTCTCAAACATAAACGAAGAAATGTTTGTTTTACTCCAAAAAGTGCATGGTAATTTATTAAAGTGGCTTTAGGAAATGACTATGCCATTTTATATTATTGTATCAGAATTAGTCATTGATAGGAATTTTGTAAGTTTTATTTTGAGGGGCTATCATTGATCATAAAATTTTTGAGTATTTATGCTGTGCTTTCGAGCTACTTGTACATAAATTTTACCATCCTTCTATATACCATATATATAATCTGCCTCTTTTCTCTCCATACACCCACAATGTTTTTTTTCTTTCTTTTTTTAAACAATACTAGAGATTAAACCTAGGGTTTTTTGCATGCTAGACAAGCTGTTTCTACCACGGAGATATATTTGTAGTCTTTTATATGTCAGTTTGCTAAAACAGTGTTTTGTGCAAACTGCTAGAATAGAGATGTAACTCGTTGAACCTTTTAGGTTGTATTTAATTGAATAAAAAAGTAGTGTTTATTGTTATTCTAAACTACTTTTGAAAATGATAGATCTTCAAAAATACACATACATTTTATTCGTGCTCTCTCTCTCCTCTCTTTTCCTTTCCTCAAGATAGGGTTTCTCTGTGTAGCCCTGACTATCCTGGAGTCCAGACTGACCTCTAACTCACAAAGATTCACCTGCCTCTGCCTCCTGAGTGCTAGGATTAAAGGCATGCACCACCACAGTCTGGCACATTTTATCACTTTATTCTTTTGTTGTTAATAACTTGAATATTTTACTTAGTAATGAATAGTACCATTTAAAACACATTTACATTTCTCGATTTTATATTGGTTTTGTTACCCATTGTTTTCATAATGTTGTTATATACTTAGTGGCCTGAAAGAACATGTGTTTGTTATAATGCTCAGAATCATTCTCAGTGGGTTACAGTCAAGTTGTAAGGGTTGATTCCTTCTAGAATTTTAGATAAATCTGTTTCCTTGCCTTTGCCAGCTTCTAGAGACTACTTTGTACAAAGCCTGTACTCTTTGGCTTCTGCACTCTCTCTTCATTTTGAATGACAGCAGTAATTCTTTCACTGCCTCCTCCTCTACTACTCTCTCCTTTCTATCAGGACTCCTGGAGCTGGGGTTAATTCAGTGGTATAATGCTTACCTGTCATTTGTGTGTCCCATGGTTCAATCCGGGGCGCCACATTTAAGAAAAAAGAAAAAGACCCCTATGATTACAGGGTCCATTGGAAAGCCCTGAATAATCCTTTTGTAGTCCTCTTTATTGGTTAGGACTGGGAAATCCTTTATATGACTGTTACCACACTACTTGGCACATAGTTGATGTTTAGTAAATGTTGGTTATAGTAACCATTTTACTTGTAAGATACTTTTTGGTTGGTTTTGTATTTTGAGACAGGGTCTCACTGTGTAGCACTGGCTAGTGTGGATCTCACAGAAATCCTCTTGCCACTGCCTCTAAGTGTTGAGATTAAAGGCATGTATCAACTAGCCCCTGCTGTTGTTGTTTTGAGACAGGCTCTCACTGCTTGTATAGTCCAGGCTGGCGTTAAACTCACAGCAATCCTCTTCACTCAGCCTTCTAAGTGATGGGATTACAGGCATGTGCCATCATGCCTTGCCTATATTATTATAAAGTATTATTTTAATACTTTACTGTGAATGATCATGGTATACAGAAAATAAAATACTAATTTCTTTTCTCTGTACAGATGGAGCAGATGGAATGGGTATCTTTGATTTATTAGACACAGGAGATGATCTTGATCCTGATATCATTAATATCCTTCCTGCATCTCCAACTGCATCTCCCGTACATTCTCCAGGTTCTCATTACCCCCATGGAGGTGATGCTGGCAAGGTAATTCTGTTAAAAAGTTTCCGTGGATGTAAATGCCATCCATATAGGGATTATTATATGAACTAGAACACCATTTTCCTCTTTGAAATTAGCAAAGAGATGAGATCCCCTGAGCTCATGCAATTTTGTTTAGCTATTAGTACTTTTTTGGTGATGGGGTGGGGCAATGATCTCCCTACTTCTTCCTCACAAGTATTGAACTCATCACTGCCCATGGCCTCGTTTGTTTGTTTTTGGTGTTTGAGCCTCCATTGTGCAGGGATTGCACCAATATGTCTGGTTCTCCCCTCCCCCACCGCCCCCCAGATCATTAATAGCACCAGTAATCCTGTGATTAAAACACGTTATAAAGTCGGGCTGTGTTGGTGTGTACCTTTAATCCCAGCACTTGGGAGGCAGAGGCAGGCGGATCTCTGTGAGTTCGAGGCCAGCCTGGGCTACAGGGTGAGTTCCAGGACAGGCTCCAAAGCTACACAGAGAAACCCTGTGTCGAAAAACAAAAACAAACAAAACAAAAAGTTATATGACATTCTCAAAAAAATAATAAAAAGGGAAGTGTGCAGTTTTTACTGTTTTATCACAATAGTAGGATTACTAGTGCGTAAGGTACTGATATAAGAACATTTTCGTTGTGAATTGATTTCCTTTTTATCTGTTTTCTTAAAATAAATGCTGAGAAATTTGGTGACCAATCCAAAGAGAAAGAACAGTAGTCCATATTGCTACAATGCCTTCCAAAACACTATGGAAATTAACAGCATTTTATAGACAGTGCTGGGGAACAAAGCAGGTTGAATTTGTCTTTTGAATTGGGCTTGAGGAATTAGTTGAAGAACTATTAGGAAAAAAGAGGAAGTTAGAGTGAATGATTTGTATTTTGTATTCACTTTGACCATAGACATACTTACTTTGTTTTGCTGTTTCGTAATGCACTGCTTTTGCTTTCATGGTATTACTACATTTAGTTAGTTATTAGGCTTGGGATTGGATTTAGACTTACACATGCTAGACTAGTGTACTGCTGTGAACTCACATCTTTAGTCCTCAAATTTTGAGATGGTCTAGATAAGTTGTTCAGACTAGCCTTGAACTTACTTTGTAGCCCAAGCAGGCCTTGAACTTCTTTGGATCTTCTTGCTTCGGTTTCTAAGCAGTAGAGGTTATTGGCCTGTCACCAGGTTAGGCATTGTAGTAACTGAGACTCTGACTAAATATATAACCATTTAATTTTTAGTATTTTATGTGGTTCATTGCAATAATAATATGAAATTAGTAGTTGTAAGTCATTTTGTATGTATGTTTGTTGTCTGCATATATTGAAGGAACTAATAATACTCTTGTCTTTTTAAGGGTCAGGGTACTGATCGGCTACTTTCAACAGAATCTCATGATGAAGTAACTAATATTCTTCAACAACCATTGGCCCTTGGATACTTTGTATCAACTGCCAAAGCGGGTCCATTACCTGACTGGTTCTGGTCAGCATGTCCTCAAGCACAATATCAATGTCCCCTTTTTCTTAAGGTATTACTATTTATGTCGCAATTCGTAACTAATCCTAATTCATAGTTTTAGTGCTGAGAACTATCAAAGTGACATTTTAAAGTTTTACATCTCATCTCAATTCCAAGTTCTTAAATACATTGTTGTATGTATTTCTGTAGCTGCCATCATAAAAAGAATTATCTAATATGAAACATGTAATTATAAAAATGTATATTAAGTTTAAACATTATTCTTAAGTCAGACATCTGGAAATCTTGCTTTTAAGTTATATTTTCAATTGCAATGTAGACGTTTAGAGCTGAGAAACATTACAGTGACTCTTTCTAGTCTTATTCTCCAGCTGAACGTATTTTAATTCAGGAAATTCACCCCTCTAAAGTCACAAATTAGTAGTAGACATCAAGAGTAAAACCTAGGTCTTTTGTGGATAATTATGTTATTTGATCATTCTGCACTCCTATTACATTTCATTATTTTTAAGATAAAAAAAAAATAACAATCTTTGTAGATTTTACTTTAATTTACCTACTCTAAAAAGTTTCTTTTGTATAAATTACTATTGAGTATGATGGGTGTGATCGCACATTTCTTTAATCCCAGCACCCAAGCTGCCAAAGGCAGGAGGATCTCTGAAAGCTTAAAGCTAGCCTGTTGTACATTGGGACTTCCAGAATAGCCAGGGCTACATAGTGAGACCCCTGTCTCAGAAATAAGCAAACAACTAATGAGTAGGTTGGGCATTGTGACTTATAATCTTAGCACTTGGGAGGCAGAGAGAGGCAAGAAGATTCCCTAGGAATTGGAGGCCAACCTGGTCTACTGAGTGCATTCCAGGTGAGCAGTGATACAAAACACAAACAAAAAACTGGTGAGTTTTTTCGTTTGTTTGTTTGTTTGTTTTTTCCCTCAAGACAGGGTTTCTCCATGTAGTTTTGGGTGCTTTTCCTGTAACTCACTCTGTAGACCAGGCTGGCCTCGAACTCAGAGAGATCTACCTGCCTCTGCCTCCCAAGTACTGGGATTAGATGGGTGTTCCACCACTGCCTGGCTGGTGAGGAGTTTGTAAGAAGTGAGATTCTCAGACATATACTTATTTTTTCATTATTCATCTTATAATATAAATTTTAAGATGGTAAAGTAAAATGAGATGTGAAAGCTCTCTGTGGTGATTGTTATTGTTATTACTACTCAAAAATAGTAAATGGAGATCTGACTTACACAATGTAAAAACTACTGTATGTGGGCTCTTCACATTTCAGGTCAGAATGTATGCTTTCATGTCTTGAAATTTTGTTTTAGTAGTTTCTGAGCATATAGATTTCTTGGACCTTTTATGCCATTTAAATCTTGATACTCTTGGCCCATGTCCCTTTGTATCAAAGCCTTTTGAGATTAAACAATGGTCTTATATAACACATTCATAAAGATACCATAGTTTATAATCTGTAGCATGTACCATCCCCACCCCCCACCCCCACCTTGAATGCCAGTCAATTTACTCTGAGCTATCCTTGTCCTAGAATTAACTATTAATAAAATGTTAGTTTAGTCTGTGACTTTTATTCTTCTACCAGATGTTCATTGGTCTATCCTGTTTCACTATATGAATGTCTTCCCAGGGGGTTCTGCAGAGTAGTAGTCTTTGGAACCTCCACTAAACAAGAGTTCCTTGGTACCACACATGCTGTCTCCTCCCCCGTGTAGTCACAGAGCCGGTGTGCACACTAAGTTCTCAAAATAGCAGTAAATGACCTTGCCTGTCTAGCAGTGTCCAAATTCAGTATAATACCTATTTGTAGTTATTACTTAGTGTTTCAGGGCACACTTTTGTTTAGTAAACACTTTGATGAAAAGTCCAAGGGACTATCCAGATTCTTTTCTACTCAATATTTATTTGCAGAGAGGATAGTGTAAAGTGAGCATTCACCCTCAGATACAGTGTAACAAGATTAGGACTTCTGATTCTGAATCACAGGTAAGGCATAACCTAACATAATTTTGTTCACCTTTTATCTTTTTCATGTTTCCCATTTTAATTCTGTACTGTTGTCAATAAAACCACTTGGTATATTTCTATGTGCTTGAGAAATCAGCAGGTTCTAGATGATTAAAAATATTTTTATCACAAGAATTTAGTCAGCATTCATTTACTTTGTAGTGATCTGACAACTGAGACTTATTTATAATTCATAAATCAAGAATTCATAGACAGTTCAAACATTTTAGTTACATTCCTGAATGTATTATATAAGAACTTATACTTGTATATAGTTGTGTTTGAGAACACAGACTGATATAAAGAAGCATCTTCATAGAATGTAGAAAGCTTTGTGAATTTTTGTCTGGTGACACCACCACTTTGTCATAGAATTAATACTGTTGTACAACTTACATGCTAGATGATTATTTTACATAATTGAATGTGAAGAATAGTAGCAAATTCCTTCTGCCTACTACTCACTGCTATGACTAAATGTGTGTACAGTTGTTACAAGCCTCTGCTAAGAAATATATACAGGCATGTGTACATTGTTTTCGTTGCTAAGTTTCATTCAGAGGCAGCTTTGTTAAAGATACAGCTTCCTGAGTAAAACATTGTGCAGGATTACTCCCTTGACTTTTTTTTAGTGCTGCTTAGAGTATAGCTTCACAGTCTAAAGTCTGTGTAATCCAGGGGCAGGGTACACTCAGGCTGACGGTTGAGTGTTTTCTTAGTCATTTGCTTTATACACTTAAGCCAATTAGGAGATGAGAAAGGTTTCTTTTTTCTTTTTCTTTTTTTTTTTTTCAAGGATTGATACATGGTACTACAACAAGTTTAAAGTAAAAATTGTAGAGAGATACACTGTAAGTTTTGCACCTTAAAGTTTCCGTCAGAACCATGAATTTTTATAGTAGCTCCCACTGCTAACACTCTCATGAGATCAGTTCATCAAGGACAGTCCATTGGGAAAGCGCGTTGAGACTAACTGATTCCCGCCCGGCTGACTGATGACCTTACCTTTTAGGCCTCTTTGCACCTCCACGTGCCTTCAGTGCAATCTGACGAGCTGCTTCACAGCAAACACTCCCACCCACTTGACTCAAATCAGACTTCAGACGTCCTCAGGTACAGCTCTGGTGACATTCCGTGTTCTCTGTTTCAACTTGAGTAAAATAGGATGTTTATTATTAAATGTCTGTATTCTTTTCGGGAAGAGTTTACTGCTTTTTAGTTTTGAATCCCTGGATGAATTCTTTTAGATGACTTAGTGTTTGGGACTTAAGGGTTTTTTCCTCTCCACTAATGATGTAGACAAAACATGGGGGCCTTGTGCATACTAGGCAAATTGCTATACCCCTGAATTAAACCCCATTGAATTATTTTTTTCTTAAAAACTATTTTATTATTTCTATTTTGGGTGTTTTGCCTCCATGCAGTGCCAGTGCAGGCCAGAAGAGAGCATCAGATGCCCTGGAACTGGAGTTAACAGATTTGTTAGCAGCCATGTGGGTGCTGGGAATTGAAAGCTGGTCCTCTGGAAGAGCAGCCCGTGCTCTTAAGCACTGAGCTCTGTTTAATTACTCTTAAGTTGGGACTTTTAAGTCCCAACCCCATTAAATTACGGAGAATGAATGTGTTTTCTATTTATTTATTTATTTATTTATTTATTTATTTTTGTTATTTTTTTTATGTGCATTGGTGTTTTGCCATGGGTGTCAGGTCTCCTGGAACAGGAGTTACAGACAGTTGTGAACTGCTGTGTGGGTGCTGGGAATTGAACCCAGGTCCTCTGGAAGAACAGTCAGTGCTCTTAACTGCTGAGCCAATTTTCCAGCTCCTAGAAATGAGTGATTTTCTAATATGAATAATTTTTTCCCCTCAATTTTTGAGAAAGGGTCTTATGTATCACAGGCTAGTTTTAAATTTCGTGCGTGGTGAAATTAGTTATATCTCTATTCCTTATCTATTGTTCGTTTTCTTTTTTCTTTTCTTTGTTTTTTTTTCTTTTTTTCTTTTCTTTTCTTTTTTATTTAAGACAGGGTCTCAACTGTGTTGTTTTGGGCTGCCTGGAACCAGGCTGTTCTTGACCTCACAGAACTCCGTCTGCTTCTACCTCTGCACTTAGCTCATTGGTTTTTCTTTTCTTTTCTCTTCTTTTCTTTTTTTTTCAAATTTTATTTCTTTCATTCATTCATTCATTATTTCATTTAGTCATCTATGTATGTATGTATCTATATCTATCTCTCTATCTATCTATCTATCTAGCTATCTATCTATCTATCTAGCTATCTATCTTTGAGACAATGCTGATTGGCCTGGATCTTATAGAATAGGCTGGCCTTGGACAGAGATTCACCAGCCTTGTCTCTTGGGTACCAGGATTAAAGGCATTATACCTATAATTTCAGGATTTGGGAGGATTAGACAGAACAAATACTACAAGTTTGAGACTAGCTTAAAGTCCAGCTTAAAAACAAACAAGCAAAAAAGAAATGGAACCAGACAACAAAGAAAGTGACTTTAGCCAGGCATGATGCCACTCAGGAAGCCAAAGCAAAAGGCTTAGATTGAGGCTAGCCTGGGTTACAGTGTGAAGTTCTTAGCAAAGAAAGAGTTTCAATGGTTGTGTTGCTGATGTAGTCACAGTGCTTATGTGGTGGAGGCAGGAGGACCATGTGTTTAAAGCTAGCCTGGGCCTCATGGTGAGTTTGAGGCCAGAGTGACATGCACAGCAATATCTTGTCATATATGCACATGCGCGCACACACCCCAGCACTTTGAAACTTAAAAGTGCTGCTAAAGTCTTTGTTGAAATAGATGGATTTACACAGTTTATTTATTTTTTTCAGGTTTGTTTTGGAACAGTACAATGCACTCTCGTGGCTAACCTGTGACCCTGCAATCCAGGACAGACGCTCGTGTCTCCCAATTCATTTTGTGGTGCTGAATCAGTTATATAACTTTATCATGAATATGCTGTGATCTTCGTTTGATGGAATTGCGCAAGGAAAGAACAGGAAGAAAGGATATTTTGTTGCAGGATTAAGTTACAGTTCTCAGTGGAAGTCATTTGTGATGGGGTCTAATTCTTATTACTTCAACAAATATTGTTTTGACTTGGGGGGGTGGGGCTATAACCCTATTTTTCATTGACTATACTGAGCTCTTTAGGATGATGACTGATTATTCAAAACGTATTATAACATTTTCGTAGCAAAAATTAACCTTTTTTTTCCAGTCACAGTATTTGTGAAAAGTAATGAGCCATAGTACCCATTCATGTTAAAGAATATTAAAAGCATGGAGAGGAAACATGAGGAACAATGAATTTCAACATATGGCTTTAGAACATCAAGATGTTCTTGTATTGGATATAGTATCTAGTATTCAAAAATGCCTGCATCTCTTATTTATTGTAAGTTTTTAAATGTATAAATTGTCTTATATTTCTTAACCTCTTTTATAAAAATTTTCCTAGAAGGTTTATACTGCCTTCTTGCTTTAAAGCAATTGGTCTAAAATATATGTAATCGTCTTAATTAAAAAGTTGCAGTAGGGTTGCTTTTAGAGTATTATTTTTTTGTAAGGGGTGGGTCGGACAGTAAATTTGTATTGTCTCACTGTACAGTTTAACAGGGATAGCGGGAATAATGTCCATACCATGTGTGTGGAAGATTTACAGCTAAGCTGTAGTTGCAGAGTACATGTACAGTAATGAAGTTCACTGTGTTTATAATGGAAAAGGTACCGGGTCTTACAGCATTTTATATATCACACCTTTGCAGAATAACATGATGGCAATATACATACGTGATATTGTTAGGTGGATTAACTTAGAATAAAATGAAAATTCTTCAGTTATATTTTGTACTATGGTTTAGGGCTATGACTAATATTTCAGGCCATTTCCAGTGAAAGAAACTTAGTTTTACAAAAAAAAAAAAATTTGCTACTGAATGCTTAAACTAATTTTGGTGTTTAATGTTATATGCTTAAATTTTTTTCAGTTTTCACAGTGGCACATTTAGGCATGGGGATATTACTAATTATGAAATTTATCTACAGGATCTGTTATAAGGTTGAAATTTAGCCCAGCTCTAGGCATTTTACAAATTATTTTAAGAGCAGTCACTCTTGATTGCTTTACTCTTTTTTTTTTTTTTTTTTAAATTAAAGATTGGGAATGTGTGAGAGAGTATGCATATGTATGGGTGTGAAAGTGTGAGTGTGTGTGCAATCAAACTGTGGTGTAAATAGATCCTCAGTGAATTCTGGTATTCAGACTCTGTTCCACTAGTGAAAGAACCATTTTCTAAACTGTTCCCTTTGACTTTGTTATTTATTGAATTTTCTTGGTTTGGAGATGGCAGTCCCAAACGCCAGAGTCTGTACTTTTCTATGACACAGCTCAAATTAAGGTAGGGCATATGCCAAGGAGGGTCTCGCCTCCCTAAAGAAGGGACTTGAATTTTAGGGACTTTAATTCACCCCTTCCTTCAGTACAACTCCCCCTTCTTGTTTGCACATGCCAAGATAACTGCTTTGACGCAGGCTTTACCCCTGAAGCAATCCTTCTACAGTGCTGCTCACCAGAGCCCAGTTAGTCTCCTGCCTGCACCGCTGACTTGAATTCACAGTCGACAAGTCTACCTATCTTTCTTGGAAGCAGTCTTTCAAAATTCCTACTTGTATATTCATTCATTGTTGACAAGGACAAAATCAGTTGTATTTACAAAACTCAGTAATTCAGTATGTTTTTTTTAAACTGAAACCTGTTTTGTAAATAGTATACATTTAATGTTACTTAGCAAACACCATTTTCTTACAGTATCTTCTTTAAATTGGGTATATGAAAACATTACCAACTCTTGTTTTTCTATAAAGAAACACAATTAGTAACAAGTTTTCAGATTATTCCTTCAACCTTAATAGAGCGATCTAAATTTTGAGCATATTTTGATATTAAATTTAAAGATCACATCTCTGTTTTTAAATTATGCTGACACCACCACAGATTATGTTGATATATTTTGTTCTGTATTTTTTTGGTGGGGGGAACTTAAGATTTGAAGTAAAATATGCTTATTTGGAATTTCTATTAAAAATTATCCTTGTTATTTTCGTAGCTCAATAGTGATTCAAGAAAATAAAAGACTATAATCCCAATTTAAAATCACTAACTTATAATAACCACACCTTGGTTTGGAAATAGATTTAACAAGAGTATTCCCTAGCAGTTTCTTTCATGTAGCCATAGCAGGGACCCCGCACACAATTCTTCTTACTTGGCAATCAGGAACTATTCCCAAATACAAGATTTATTTATCAGTTTTTTTCTTTCCCTTCACACATCAGTTCTTGCTCAAAAGAAGTTACTAAATAGCCATTAGAAGAAATGAAGCCTTGCAGGATGATAGATCTAACTAATGTACTGTCACAGACAAGCATGGGTAATTGTTTATTTGAGTAGGTAAGCAAAATTGTACCCTTTGTCCCAGTGAGTTCCCAAACCTTAACTTCCTCATTTCAATGCTAATGCCTGTTTTGTGTGCAGTTATCCATTATGAAGCAGGTGAAAGTTCAGTATTTTAGCATTTTAAAGATTAGTTATATAATGTCTGCTTCCAGCCAGTCTGAAACATCTAGCCATACCTTTCTTATGCAAGCCATTCAGTTATCAGGACTGTGAATTAACACCGTATGAATACATTTCTGTACACCTTATTGTTTGGCCAGAAGGCCACCAAGTGTACTTATATGTAATCCTTAAATTTTAAAATAGCTTGTAATTTTTAAATATTTCTAAACTTTTCTTAACCACTAAAATTAAGCTCTTACTACTTAGTCGACTCTCCTCCGCTGTCTTCGTCCTCAATTGTCAGTATGGCACAGATTACTGTATTCAAATATTCTCTTTCGTCTTCATATTTACCTTCTGAGGTAATTTTTTTAACTTAATGTGTTACTACAAAGATTTGCAGATCTTTAATCAAGCACTATGTTATTACTGTAATATCAAAATATTATGTCACATTATTTCAAATGTTCAGATTGAATAGGTTAAAAGAAAGTCTTTAAATGCTATTGCATCATAGAATCTGCTCCTACCCACTGTGGCATTGCGTATTAGTCTATTGAGACATTCAATGTTGCTTGACTGACATTTTGGTCTGGGTTTCCTCTTAATATTTTAGTTTAATTAAAATTAAGAAAAATGTGTTTAATAATTATTTTTATTTTGTCCCACTCTCTCCAAATCAGCGGGAAAAATCTTACCCTTTGGTATTTCTTAGTGTGTTAATGGGCCCAGAACTGTGGTTTAAATTTTTATATATGTATTCACTCATTCTCTCTTTGGCTCTCTCTTTCTCTCTTTTGTGGAGTATAAATTTCAAAACTGGATTTGGGACCTAAAATACTCCTCAGGTTGAGATACTCTTGAAGTTTTAAAATAGCTTTAGTTTTTAAAGTAAACTGGATTTGTGGACCTTAAAGTTACTGAGTTTAAACTAGAAATTGTAACATCATTACTGGACATGTCAGCATCCACCCTCTCAGAATAGCTTGGTCACTTTATGAAGGGGCGTTTTTAAGTTGTTGTTTAGCAGTGACATTTAATATGGTCCAATTGCTTTTCTTTTTAACGTGACAAAAATTTTAAAAAGAATAAGGAACAAACACTATTGCTGCCGAATGCCATAACACTGAGTTGTACAAATTGTGATTGAGGAAATGAAAAAGTTTATACTTTTTAAAAAAAAAAAAAGAAAAAACAAAACTTCAAATGGAATAAATTATTCATGAAGCCTTCATTGTGGTGTCTCATTCTGTTGAAAATATTTCTATCTTAAAATGTTTCCATAATTAGGAGAAATTACTACTTTTGGGTCACATAGGCAGAGAAGGGGTTCACCTAGACACTGAGGGCTGTTTGGGATGGGCAGGTGTGAGGCAGGGTATTGCTGTGTAGAACAGGGTGGTCTTGAACTCACAGACACGTCTTTGCTTGTGCTTTCCAAGTGCTGGGATTAAAGGAGTTTTTTTGTTTTTGTTTTGAAGTGAATGTTAATTCTTCAGATGTTCATTATTCATGATAAACGTGTGCGCGTGCGCATAGCAGCTCCTTTTTATTAATTAATTTGGTGTTAACTATTTAGCCGAAACAGTTATATTTAAACAGTCATACTTAGAGCTGTTGTGTGTGTGTGTGTGTGTGTGTGTGTGTGTGTGTGTG